CCCCGCGAGGCCTTCAGCATGGGCGAGGCCAACGAGAAGCGCTTCTACATCGAGGCGCGCAACATCCTGCCGTGAGGGCACCTTTTTTTGCCAGGAGGTCCGAGGAGGGCCGGTCGAGGGAGCGGCGGCCCTCCCAGGGGTTCCATCGTGTGTCCTCGCCTTGGCATCGCTCGGACGTGTGCATGGTTCCTTCGGCGAGGATTAAGTCGGGCCTGTCCCCCGACAAGGGGGATTTTCGACGAAAAAATAAAATACGTAGTCCAAAAAATAGTCTGGGGACTATTTTTGGGGTATGTTTTGACCTTTTCAGAGTATTTTGGGTGTATGTTTTCATTTTTCGTCGAACATCTCCCTGTAGGGGGTCACGCCCGACACAAGGCGAGGACCATCGAGGAGCATCCTTGACCGTTTGGCGAAGAAGCCACGCACGAAGCCGAGAAAAACCCAGGGAATGGACGTCCGAGCGATGGCCAGTCGATGTTCTGGGGTGCCCGCCCCCCCCCCCGCCAGACATGGACGATCCCAACGGTGACTTCGGGTTGGATTGAGGTGGTCTTGTAGGTGCAGTGGGGCCGAGGTGCAAGGTCGAGGTCGGCTCGGGGAGGGCCACCCGATGCTTTCCGTGTCCATTGGATGTTCTTGCGCATCCTGGGGAGGGTGCCCCTCGGATGTCCTGTGTGTTTCGGCTGGTGGAGGGTCTCGTGTTCTTGAAGGATGCTCTTCAGTGCTAGGTCCGACTGTACTAGTAGTCAGAAGACGCGTCGGGATGGACCCTGGTCGGGGTCCAGGGAACGACTCTGATCGGGTCGTGGCCGGGCGGGTGAGCCGACGATGCCTCGACTGGCCTTTTGCTTTGAGTTTTTGAGAGAGCACTCCGTGCGTCAGCACCTTTCGAGCCGCCACATGCCCCCCCTCGGCAGGCTGGCCGGCCTGCTTTTTCTCCGAGCGGAGGCTCCGGCTCCACCCACGTGCGCGCCGCCCCTCGCCGAGCTGACCCCGCACTGGGAAGGCATCGGATCACATCCACCGTCGGGTTTGGGGGCTGTGTCTGCTGCCAGTTGCGGGTTCCATGCCTGCGACCACTGCTCCTGCCACAGCAGTGTGTGTGTGTGTGCGTGTGTGTTGCTGTGCATTTCCGGATGCTGCCGCTGCCGCCGCCGCCGTCGCCGCTGCAAGTATAGGTTTTGGTCCACACGGACGCGACGGAACGTGCAGTGATGGAAGAGGGAGCATTCTCCCTGCCCCTGACGAGTGCTACGGTATCCTGGCTCCTGCGGCACTTCTGCAATCGTGCCAGCGGAGCACGCTGTGTGGCGACACCTTGTGCTCTGCCCGCAAGGCCATCACCTGAAGAGCTATCGTGGGGCTCATGTGGGCCGCCTTGGGGCTGTCTTGGGCTCCTCTGGGGCAGTCTTCCCTTGGGGCTCTTTTTGGCAGTCTCGGAGCTCTCTGGGGCCATCTTGGGGCCCTCTTGGGCGGGTGGAAGATTCCCGTGGGGCCGTCGTGGGCGGCCGTCGGCCGTCTTGGGGCCTTCCACGGACCCTCTTGTGTCAGCCTCGGGCTTTCTCGGGGCCTTCTGGGGGCCCTCTTGGGGCTCGCAGTGCGTTCTTGGGCCTTCGAAGGCCCAGTCTTAGATCGAAGAGCGTTGAAAGCGAAGCACATTGCAGAACACATGGGGAATCCATGTTTTGGGCCTCTCGGGGACCTCCTGGAGAGAGTCTGGGGGGTTGTCTTGGGGCCTCTTAGAGGCCTCTTGGGGCGTACTGGGTGCCTCTGAGGCCTGTTGAGGCCGTCTTGGGCCACCTTGGCGGCCTTGGTGGACGTCTTTGGCCGTCTTCCACGCCACCGAGAGCCTTGGGCAGCGCCAGGGAGGCGTCGTGACGCCCAGGGAGCCTCGTCACGGGGGGCGGTGCATGCGATCGCGTCTGTCGACTTACAGGCACCTTACCAGACAGCACTTGGCGTTCGACCACGCCTCAAAATGCCAGAAGGCACAGCGGTTGATGCCTGGCGCCTAGCGGACACAGTCGGCGATGCGCCTGGAGCGTGATCGGACTGATCGCGCGTGGTTCTAGAGACGCCGGCCGTGAGTGTTTGTGTTCTTGCCCAGGGCTTTTCGCGCAGTGGCGAGGCGGGATGGTGAATTGTGGGAATTGGCACTCGGCGTCACCCCGCCATCCCATCCGTAAACGATCCCCAGGCGAGTCCGTAGCCATTTTGGCACAAGGCTGGTCTGACACAGGCCACCCTAGCTTTCAAGCCCGCACGTGCCGGCCCCTGCCCAGGGGACCTCCCGGCAGCTTCGCCCCGGACAAGGAAGGCCGAGCCATGGCCATGTCGGCCCAGGACGCTCCGAGGGGCATGGCCGAGGCGATGAAGCAGGCCGAGGCAGGCATGGCGCTCTTCAAGGACAAGGCCGAGGTGCAGGTGGACAAGCCTGCCGCGGAGGCCTTCAAGGCATCGCACGAGGCCCCCCGCCCTGGGGGCCCCTGGCAGAGAAGGCAGAAGTGTCATACGACTCGCTGACCGCAAGGACAACAATAAGGAGCGCACGCGAAGACAAGGACTGTCGGAGCCAAGGTCGTCAAGCAGTACATCGACCCTGCAAGGTTTCGCGAAGGGCCTGAGCCGTGAGCGGCTCTTTCCGTGGCGTCCGCGGGGCCGGAGGAGCCGGCCTCGAAGCCGGCCCCGCCGAGGCGCCGGCCGATAGGCTGAACCCCGACGCGAAGAAGGCCTCGAGGGGCCGGCGAGAAGGCGGATCGGCGGCGGGGCTGAGCCAGGCGGAGAAGAAGGAGCTGGACACAGAATCAAGAGCGACATCGAGTCGCGCAAGGCCCAGCTGAAGGAGGAGGGATGAGCGGGCGGCCCGCAAGAACAAAGGACGCGCAGATATCGTGGCGTGGGCGCTCGCATGAACGAGCTCAAGGAGAAGGATGCCCGGGAGCACGCAGAAGCCCGACACGAAGGAGGATGAAGAAGAAGAATACCCTGGGCTCCGACATGCAGAAGGCGCGGACGCGCTGAGTGCAGGAGATCGACGAGTACCAGACCAGCTCAATCGAGTTCGCTACTCCAACAAGGAAATCAAGGCCGACCCCGATCTGGCAGACATGGAGCGAGGCTGCAGGCGATCAGAGAAGTAGCGCGTCACGGTGGCCGACCTGGGCCGTGGTGTTACGTTGCGGGCTCATTATTTTAAGTGCATAACAAACGAATAGTTCTCGTATCGCAATGCGTCCCAACTTGCCCTGCGATGTACATTGTCCCTCCCGCGGGAGGAAATCGCACGGTTTAGTTTAAACCGACAGCCCTGCTCGTTTCAAGCCTGGGCGACGGGCAACGCGATTCCCGTCTCCCGGCACCTGCTAGCAGCCAGTTTCAAGTACGCACGGCTGTAAGCGCGACACTCCCTTTTTTGGTGAGCGTGCGTCGCAAAAATGCACCCAGGCAAGTTGTTGTTTACTCAGGGACGCGAAGGAGCATGTAGTGATAGAAGGAGGGAGATTTCATGTTGCTCGTGATGGGGTCTGCGGTATCCTGGTGCATGCGGTACAGCCCGCAAGGCCGGCACATGTGACACCTCTCGTCTCCACTTCTTGAGGAGCTCTCGTGGGGCTCCTTTTGGCTGCCTTGGGGCTGTTCTGGGCTCCTGTAGGGCAGTGTGGGGGCGCCCTTGGAGCCCTCTCGGGCCGTCTTGGGGCCCTCTCTGGCAGTTTCGGAGCTCTCTTGGGTCCTTCTGGCCGTCCTCGAGCCGTCTTGGGTCCCCGTGGGGCCGTCTTGGGGCCTTCTGGAGGCCCTGTTGGGCCAGCTTGGGGCCCTCTTGGGGCCCTCCTGGGGCTCTCCGTCGGCCTTTCTTGGGCTGCCGAAGACCGCAAGCGGCCCGGTCTTGATCGAAGAGCGTGCGAAGCGCGCGTTGAGAACACATGGGGGATCAATGTGTCGGGCCTCTCGGGCACCTCCTGGAGAGTTTCTCGGGGATTGTCTGAGGGTCCCTCGGAGGCCTCTTGGGACAAGTTGTGCGCTGCTGAGGGCGCCTTGAGGCGGTCTTGGGGGACCTCCCTGGCCGCCTTCGACGCCTCGGAGAGCCTTGGACAGCGCCAGGGAGGCGTCGTGCCGCCCAGGAAGCCTCGTGACTGGGGGTGGTGCATGCGTGCATGCGACAGAGTGCGTCGAGGGAGTGGGTGGGGGCCTTGGCAGGCCTCCAGCCACCTTGCCAGTCTCTGCCCAGGGCTTTTCGCGCAGTGGCGAGGAGGGACGCTGAACTGTGGGATTTGGCGCTCGGCGTCACCCCGCCAGCCCATCCGTACACGATCCCCAGGCGAGTCCGTAGCCATTTTGGCTCAAGGCTGGTCTGACACAGGCCACCCTAGCTTTCAAGCCCGCACGTGCCGGCCCCTGCCCAGGGGACCTCCCGGCAGCTTCGCCCCGGACAAGGAAGGCCGAGCCATGGCCATGTCGGCCCAGGACGCTCCGAGGGGCATGGCCGAGGCGATGAAGCAGGCCGAGGCAGGCATGGCGCTCTTCAAGGACAAGGCCGAGGTGCAGGTGGACAAGCCTGCCGCGGAGGCCTTCAAGGCATCGCACGAGGCCCTGCTGGCAGAGATGCAGAAGGTCATCGACTCGCTGACCGGCAAGGACAACAAGAAGGAGCGCACCGCGAAGAGCAAGGAGCTGTCGGAGCTCAAGGTCGACAAGCAGTACATCGACGCCTGCAAGGTGGCGAAGGGCCTGGAGCCCGTGAGCGGCTTCTTCTCCGTGGCGTCCGCGGGGCCGGAGGAGCCGGCCTCGAAGCCGGCGGCCGCCGAGGCGCCGGCCGAGAGGCTGGACCCCGACGCGAAGAAGGCCGCGAGGCCGGCGAAGAAGGCGGAGAGCGCGGGGCTGAGCCAGGCGGAGAAGAAGGAGCTGGACCAGATCAAGAGCGACATCGTGTCGCGCAAGGCCCAGCTGAAGGAGGAGGGGATGAGCGGCGGCCAGCAGAACAAGGACGCGCAGATCGTGGCGTGGGTCGCTCGCATGAACGAGCTCAAGGAGAAGGAGTGCCCGGGGAGCACGCAGAAGCCCGACAAGAAGGAGGAGAAGAAGAAGAAGACCCTTGGCTCCGACATGCAGAAGGCGGCGGACGCGCTGAGGCAGGAGATCGACGAGTACAAGACCAAGCTCAAGTCGGAGTTCGGCTACTCCAACAAGGAAATCAAGGCCGACCCCGATCTGGCAGACATGGAGGCGAGGCTGCAGGCGATCGAGAAGTAGCGCGGCACGGTGGCGACTGGGGCCGTGGTGTTTACGTTGCGGGCTCATTCTTTCAAGTGCATAACAAACGAATAGTTCGGTATCGCAATGCGTCCAACTTGCCCTGCGATTGTACATTGTCCCTCCCGCGGGAGGAAGCGCACGGTTTTAGTTTAACCGACAGCCCTGCTCGTTTCAAGCCTGGGCGACGGGCAACGCGATTCCCGTCTCCCGGCACCTGCTAGCAGCCAGTTTCAAGTACGCACGGCTGTAAGCGCGACACTCCCTTTTTTGGTGAGCGTGCGTCGCAAAAATGCACCCAGGCAAGTTGTTGTTTACTCAGGGACGCGAAGGAGCATGTAGGGATCCGAGGAGGGAGGTTTCATTTTGCTCGCGATGGGGTCTGCGGTATCCTGGTGCCTGCGGCACAGCCCGCAAGGCCGGCACATGTGACACCTCTCTCCTCGACTTCTTGAGGAGCTCTCATGGGGCTCTTGTTGGCTGCCTTGGGGCTGTTCTGGGCTCCTGTAGGGCAGTGTTGGGGCGCCCTTGGAGCCCTCTCGGGCCGTCTTGGGGCTCTCTCTGGCAGTTTCGGAGCTCTCTTGGGTCCTTTTGGCCGTCCTCGAGCCGTCTTGGGTCCCCGTGGGGCCGTCTTGGGGCCTTCTGGAGGCCCTGTTGGGCCAGCTTGGGGCCCTCCTGGGGCCCTCCTGGGGCTCTCCGTCGGCCTTTCTTGGGCTGCCGAAGACCGCAAGCGGCCCGGTCTTGATCGAAGAGCGTGCGAAGCGAAGCACACGTTGAGAACACATGGGGAATCAATGTGTCGGGCCTCTCGGGCACCTCCTGGAGAGTGTCTCGGGGATTGTCTGAGGGTCCCTCGGAGGCCTCTTGGGACAAACTGTGCGCTGCTGAGGGCGCCTGGAGAGGGTCTTGGGGGACCTCCCTGGCCGCCTTCGACGCCTCGGAGAGCCTTGGACAGCGCCAGGGAGGCGTCGTGCCGCCCAGGAAGCCTCGTGACTGGGGGTGGTGCATGCGTGCATGCGACAGAGTGCGTCGAGGGAGTGGGTGGGGGCCTTGGCAGGCCTCCAGCCACCTTGCCAGTCTCTGCCCAGGGCTTTTCGCGCAGTGGCGAGGAGGGACGCTGAACTGTGGGATTTGGCGCTCGGCGTCACCCCGCCAGCCCATCCGTACACGATCCCCAGGCGAGTCCGTAGCCATTTTGGCTCAAGGCTGGTCTGACACAGGCCACCCTAGCTTTCAAGCCCGCACGTGCCGGCCCCTGCCCAGGGGACCTCCCGGCAGCTTCGCCCCAGACAAGGAAGGCAGACCGAGCCATGGCCATGTCGGCCCAGGACGCTCCGAGGGGCATGGCCGAGGCGATGAAGCAGGCCGAGGCGGGCATGGCGCTCTTCAAGGACAAGGCCGAGGTGCAGGTGGACAAGCCTGCCGCGGAGGCCTTCAAGGCATCGCACGAGGCCCTGCTGGCAGAGATGCAGAAGGTCATCGACTCGCTGACCGGCAAGGACAACAAGAAGGAGCGCACCGCGAAGAGCAAGGAGCTGTCGGAGCTCAAGGTCGACAAGCAGTACATCGACGCCTGCAAGGTGGCGAAGGGCCTGGAGCCCGTGAGCGGCTTCTTTACCGTGGCGTCCGCGGGGCCGGAGGAGCCGGCCTCGAAGCCGGCGGCCGCCGAGGCGCCGGCCGAGAGGCTGGACCCCGACGCGAAGAAGGCCGCGAGGCCGGCGAAGAAGGCGGAGAGCGCGGGGCTGAGCCAGGCGGAGAAGAAGGAGCTGGACCAGATCAAGAGCGACATCGTGTCGCGCAAGGCCCAGCTGAAGGAGGAGGGGATGAGCGGCGGCCAGCAGAACAAGGACGCGCAGATCGTGGCGTGGGTCGCTCGCATGAACGAGCTCAAGGAGAAGGAGTGCCCGGGGAGCACGCAGAAGCCCGACAAGAAGGAGGAGAAGAAGAAGAAGACCCTGGGCTCCGACATGCAGAAGGCGGCGGACGCGCTGAGGCAGGAGATCGACGAGTACAAGACCAAGCTCAAGTCGGAGTTCGGCTACTCCAACAAGGAAATCAAGGCCGACCCCGATCTGGCAGACATGGAGGCGAGGCTGCAGGCGATCGAGAAGTAGCGCGGCACGGTGGCGACTGGGGCGTGGTGTTTACGTTGCGGGCTCATCTTTCAAGTGCATAACAAACGAATAGTTCGGTATCGCAATGCGTCCAACTTGCCCTGCGATTGTACATTGTCCCTCCCGCGGGAGGAAGCGCACGGTTTTAGTTTAACCGACAGCCCTGCTCGTTTCAAGCCTGGGCGACGGGCAACGCGATTCCCGTCTCCCGGCACCTGCCAGCAGCCAGTTTCAAGTACGCACGGCTGTAAGCGCGACACTCCCTTTTTTGGTGAGCGTGCGTCGCAAAAATACACCCAGGCAAGTTGTTGTTTATCCAGGGACGCGAAGGAGCATGTAGGGATCCGAGGAGGGAGGTTTCATTTTGCTCGTGATGGGATCTGCGATATCCTGGTGCATGCGGTACAGCCCGCAAGGCCGGCACATGTGACACCTCTCTCCTCGACTTCTTGAGGAGCTCTCATGGGGCTCCTTTTGGCTGCCTTGGGGCTGTTCTGGGCTCCTGTAGGGCAGTGTTGGGGCGCCCTTGGAGCCCTCTCGGGCCGTCTTGGGGCCCTCTTTGGCAGTTTCGGAGTTCTCTTGGGTCCTTTTGACCGTCGTGGAGCCGTCGTGGGTCCCCGTGGAGACGCCGTGGAGCCGTCTTGGGGCCTTCTGGCGGCCCTCTTGGGCCAGCTTGGGGCCGTCGAGGGGCCCTCTTGGGGCTCTCCGTCGGCCTTTCTTGGGCTGCCAAATACCGCAAGCGGCGGGGTCTTGATCGAAGGGCGTGATAAGCGAAGCACACGTTGAGAACACATGGGGGATCAATGTGTCGGACCTCTCGGGCACCTCCTGGAGAGTGTCTCGGGGATTGTCTGAGGGTCCCTCGGAGGCCTCTTGGGACAAACTGTGCGCTGCTGAGGGCGCCTTGAGGCGGTCTTGGGGGACCTCCCTGGCCGCCTTCGACGCCTCGGAGAGCCTTGGACAGCGCCAGGGAGGCGTCGTGCCGCCCAGGAAGCCTCGTGACTGGGGGTGGTGCATGCGTGCATGCGACAGAGTGCGTCGAGGGAGTGGGTGGGGGCCTTGGCAGGCCTCCAGCCACCTTGCCAGTCTCTGCCCAGGGCTTTTCGCGCAGTGGCGAGGAGGGACGCTGAACTGTGGGATTTGGCGCTCGGCGTCACCCCGCCAGCCCATCCGTACACGATCCCCAGGCGAGTCCGTAGCCATTTTGGCTCAAGGCTGGTCTGACACAGGCCACCCTAGCTTTCAAGCCCGCACGTGCCGGCCCCTGCCCAGGGGACCTCCCGGCAGCTTCGCCCCAGACAAGGAAGGCAGACCGAGCCATGGCCATGTCGGCCCAGGACGCTCCGAGGGGCATGGCCGAGGCGATGAAGCAGGCCGAGGCGGGCATGGCGCTCTTCAAGGACAAGGCCGAGGTGCAGGTGGACAAGCCTGCCGCGGAGGCCTTCAAGGCATCGCACGAGGCCCTGCTGGCAGAGGTGCAGAAGGTCATCGACTCGCTGACCGGCAAGGACAACAAGAAGGAGCGCACCGCGAAGAGCAAGGAGCTGTCGGAGCTCAAGGTCGACAAGCAGTACATCGACGCCTGCAAGGTGGCGAAGGGCCTGGAGCCCGTGAGCGGCTTCTTTACCGTGGCGTCCGCGGGGCCGGAGGAGCCGGCCTCGAAGCCGGCGGCCGCCGAGGCGCCGGCCGAGAGGCTGGACCCCGACGCGAAGAAGGCCGCGAGGCCGGCGAAGAAGGCGGAGAGCGCGGGGCTGAGCCAGGCGGAGAAGAAGGAGCTGGACCAGATCAAGAGCGACATCGTGTCGCGCAAGGCCCAGCTGAAGGAGGAGGGGATGAGCGGCGGCCAGCAGAACAAGGACGCGCAGATCGTGGCGTGGGTCGCTCGCATGAACGAGCTCAAGGAGAAGGAGTGCCCGGGGAGCACGCAGAAGCCCGACAAGAAGGAGGAGAAGAAGAAGAAGACCCTGGGCTCCGACATGCAGAAGGCGGCGGACGCGCTGAGGCAGGAGATCGACGAGTACAAGACCAAGCTCAAGTCGGAGTTCGGCTACTCCAACAAGGAAATCAAGGCCGACCCCGATCTGGCAGACATGGAGGCGAGGCTGCAGGCGATCGAGAAGTAGCGCGGCACGGTGGCGACTGGGGCCGTGGTGTTTACGTTGCGGGCTCATTATTTTAAGTGTATAACAAACGAATAGTTCGGTATCGCAATGCGTCCAACTTGCCCTGCGATTGTACATTGTCCCTCCCGCGGGAGGAAGCGCACGGTTTTAGTTTAACCGACAGCCCTGCTCGTTTCAAGCCTGGGCGACGGGCAACGCGATTCCCGTCTCCCGGCACCTGCTAGCAGCCAGTTTCAAGTACGCACGGCTGTAAGCGCGACACTCCCTTTTTTGGTGAGCGTGCGTCGCAAAAATGCACCCAGGCAAGTTGTTGTTTACTCAGGGACGCGAAGGAGCATGTAGTGATAGAAGGAGGGAGATTTCATGTTGCTCGTGATGGGGTCTGCGGTATCCTGGTGCATGCGGTACAGCCCGCAAGGCCGGCACATGTGACACCTCTCGTCTCCACTTCTTGAGGAGCTCTCGTGGGGCTCCTTTTGGCTGCCTTGGGGCTGTTCTGGGCTCCTGTAGGGCAGTGTGGGGGCGCCCTTGGAGCCCTCTCGGGCCGTCTTGGGGCCCTCTCTGGCAGTTTCGGAGCTCTCTTGGGTCCTTCTGGCCGTCCTCGAGCCGTCTTGGGTCCCCGTGGGGCCGTCTTGGGGCCTTCTGGAGGCCCTGTTGGGCCAGCTTGGGGCCCTCTTGGGGCCCTCCTGGGGCTCTCCGTCGGCCTTTCTTGGGCTGCCGAAGACCGCAAGCGGCCCGGTCTTGATCGAAGGGCGTGCGAAGCGCGCGTTGAGAACACATGGGGGATCAATGTGTCGGGCCTCTCGGGCACCTCCTGGAGAGTTTCTCGGGGATTGTCTGAGGGTCCCTCGGAGGCCTCTTGGGACAAGTTGTGCGCTGCTGAGGGCGCCTTGAGGCGGTCTTGGGGGACCTCCCTGGCCGCCTTCGACGCCTCGGAGAGCCTTGGACAGCGCCAGGGAGGCGTCGTGCCGCCCAGGAAGCCTCGTGACTGGGGGTGGTGCATGCGTGCATGCGACAGAGTGCGTCGAGGGAGTGGGTGGGGGCCTTGGCAGGCCTCCAGCCACCTTGCCAGTCTCTGCCCAGGGCTTTTCGCGCAGTGGCGAGGCGGGATGGTGAACCGTGGGAATTGGCGCTCGGCGTCACCCCGCCAGCCCATCCGTACACGATCCCCAGGCGAGTCCGTAGCCATTTTGGCTCAAGGCTGGTCTGACACAGGCCACCCTAGCTTTCAAGCCCGCACGTGCCGGCCCCTGCCCAGGGGACCTCCCGGCAGCTTCGCCCCAGACAAGGAAGGCAGACCGAGCCATGGCCATGTCGGCCCAGGACGCTCCGAGGGGCATGGCCGAGGCGATGAAGCAGGCCGAGGCGGGCATGGCGCTCTTCAAGGACAAGGCCGAGGTGCAGGTGGACAAGCCCGCCGCGGAGGCCTTCAAGGCATCGCACGAGGCCCTGCTGGCAGAGATGCAGAAGGTCATCGACTCGCTGACCGGCAAGGACAACAAGAAGGAGCGCACCGCGAAGAGCAAGGAGCTGTCGGAGCTCAAGGTCGACAAGCAGTACATCGACGCCTGCAAGGTGGCGAAGGGCCTGGAGCCCGTGAGCGGCTTCTTCTCGGTGGCGATCGCGGGGCCGGAGGAGCCGGCCTCCTCGAAGCCGGCGGCCGCGCGAGTGGCGCCGGGCCCCGAGAGGCTGGACCCCGACGCGGAAAGAAGCGCGTGGCGGCGGCCGAGGCGGAGAAGCGCTGGGGCTGTGCCAGGCGGAGAAAGGAGTTGGACCAGATCAAGAGCGACATCGTGTCGCGCATAGGCACAGCTGAAGCGAGTGTGGGGATGGCGACAAACAGCAGAACTAAGGACGCGCGAGACGTGGCTGTGGTCGCTCGCATGATACGAGCAGCTCAAGGAGGAAGGAGTGAGGGGGGGAGCTACGCAGATGCCCGACAAGAAGGAGGAGAGAAGATGAAGGACCCTGGGCCCCGACAGCAGAAGGCGCGGACGAGCTGAGGAGGAGATCGACGCGTACAAGACCAAGCTAAGTTCGGAGTTCGCTTAGCCAACAAGAAATCAGGACGAAATCCATCCTGGCAGACATGGAGGCGAGGCTGCAGGCGATCGAGAAGTTTGGCGCGCCGGCACGGATGGCGACTGGGGCCGTGGTTGTTTTACGTTGGGGCTCATTATTTTAAGTGCATAACTAAAACGAATAGTTCGGTATCGCAATGCGTCCAACTTGCCCTGCGATTGTACATTGTCCCTCCCGCGGGAGGAAGCGCACGGTTTTAGTTTAACCGACAGCCCTGCTCGTTTCAAGCCTGGGCGACGGGCAATGCGATTCCCGTCTCCCGGCACCTGCTAGCAGCCAGTTTCAAGTACGCACGGCTGTATGCGCGACACTCCCTTTTTTGGTGAGCGTGCGTCGCAAAAATGCACCCAGGCAAGTTTTGTTTTCCTCAGGGACGCGAAGGAGCATGTAGGGATCCGAGGAGGGAGGTTTCATTTTGCTCGCGATGGGTTCTGCGATATCCTGGTGCCTGCGGCACAGCCCGCAAGGCCGGCACATGTGACACCTCTCGTCTCCACTTCTTGAGGAGCTCTCGTGGGGCTCCTTTTGGCTGCCTTGGGGCTGTTCTGGGCTCCTGTAGGGCAGTGTGGGGGCGCCCTTGGAGCCCTCTCGGGCCGTCTTGGGGCTCTCTCTGGCAGTTTCGGAGCTCTCTTGGGTCCTTTTGGCCGTCCTCGAGCCGTCTTGGGTCCCCGTGGGGCCGTCTTGGGGCCTTCTGGAGGCCCTGTTAAGCCAGCTTGGGGCCCTCCTGGGGCCCTCCTGGGGCTCTCCGTCGGCCTTTCTTGGGCTGCCGAAGACCGCAAGCGGCCCGGTCTTGATCGAAGAGCGTGCGAAGCGAAGCACACGTTCAGAACACATGGGGGATCAATGTGTCGGGCCTCTCGGGCACCTCCTGGAGAGTGTCTCGGGGATTGTCTGAGGGTCCCTCGGAGGCCTCTTGGGACAAACTGTGCGCTGCTGAGGGCGCCTGGAGAGGGTCTTGGGGAACCTCCCTGGCCGCCTTCGACGCTTCGGAGAGCCTTGGACAGCGCCAGGGAGGCGTCGTGCCGCCCAGGAAGCCTCGTGACTGGGGGTGGTGCATGCGTGCATGCGACAGAGAGCGTCGAGGGAGTGGGTGGGGGCCTTGGCAGGCCTCCAGCACCTTGCCAGGTCTCTGCCCAGGGCTTTTCGCGCAGTGGCGAGGCGGGCGGTTGCTGAACTGTGGGAATTTCTGGCTCGGCGTTCACCCCGCCAGGCCCATCCGTTCCACGATCCCCAGGCGAAAAGTCCGGTAGCCATTTTGGCTTCAAGGCTGGGGCGGCTGAAGGCCCCCCTACTTTCAAGTCTCACATTTGTGCTCGTCCCCAGTAGGGGAACTCCCGGCAGCTTCGCCCCAGACAAGGAGCTGACGAGCCATGGCCATGTCGGCCCAGGACGCTCCGAGGGGCATGGCCGAGGCGATGAAGCAGGCCGAGGCGGGCATGGCGCTCTTCAAGGACAAGGCCGAGGTGCAGGTGGACAAGCCTGCCGCGGAGGCCTTCAAGGCATCGCACGAGGCCCTGCTGGCAGAGGTGCAGAAGGTCATCGACTCGCTGACCGGCAAGGACAACAAGAAGGAGCGCACCGCGAAGAGCAAGGAGCTGTCGGAGCTCAAGGTCGACAAGCAGTACATCGACGCCTGCAAGGTGGCGAAGGGCCTGGAGCCCGTGAGCGGCTTCTTCTCCGTGGCGTCCGCGGGGCCGGAGGAGCCGGCCTCGAAGCCGGCGGCCGCCGAGGCGCCGGCCGAGAGGCTGGACCCCGACGCGAAGAAGGCCGCGAGGCCGGCGAAGAAGGCGGAGAGCGCGGGGCTGAGCCAGGCGGAGAAGAAGGAGCTGGACCAGATCAAGAGCGACATCGTGTCGCGCAAGGCCCAGCTGAAGGAGGAGGGGATGAGCGGCGGCCAGCAGAACAAGGACGCGCAGATCGTGGCGTGGGTCGCTCGCATGAACGAGCTCAAGGAGAAGGAGTGCCCGGGGAGCACGCAGAAGCCCGACAAGAAGGAGGAGAAGAAGAAGAAGACCCTTGGCTCCGACATGCAGAAGGCGGCGGACGCGCTGAGGCAGGAGATCGACGAGTACAAGACCAAGCTCAAGTCGGAGTTCGGCTACTCCAACAAGGAAATCAAGGCCGACCCCGATCTGGCAGACATGGAGGCGAGGCTGCAGGCGATCGAGAAGTAGCGCGGCACGGAGGCGACTGGGGCCGTGGTGTTTACGTTGCGGGCTCATTCTTTCAAGTGTATAACAAACGAATAGTTCGGTATCGCAATGCGTCCAACTTGCCCTGCGATTGTACATTGTCCCTCCCGCGGGAGGAAGCGCACGGTTTTAGCTTAACCGACAGCCCTGCTCGTTTCAAGCCTGGGCGACGGGCAACGCGATTCCCGTCTCCCGGCACCTGCTAGCAGCCAGTTTCAAGTACGCACGGCTGTAAGCGCGACACTCCCTTTTTTGGTGAGCGTGCGTCGCAAAAATGCACCCAGGCAAGTTGTTGTTTATCCAGGGACGCGAAGGAGCATGTAGGGATCCGAGGAGGGAGGTTTCATTTTGCTCGCGATGGGTTCTGCGATATCCTGGTGCCTGCGGCACAGCCCGCAAGGCCGGCACATGTGATACCTCTCGTCTCCACTTCTTGAGGAGCTCTCGTGGGGCTCCTTTTGGCTGCCTTGGGGCTGTTCTGGGCTCCTGTAGGGCAGTGTTGGGGCGCCCTTGGAGCCCTCTCGGGCCGTCTTGGGGCTCTCTCTGGCAGTTTCGGAGCTCTCTTGGGTCCTTTTGGCCGTCCTCGAGCCGTCTTGGGTCCCCGTGGGGCCGTCTTGGGGCCTTCTGGAGGCCCTGTTGGGCCAGCTTGGGGCCCTCTTGGGGCCCTCCTGGGGCTCTCCGTCGGCCTTTCTTGGGCTGCCGAAGACCGCAAGCGGCCCGGTCTTGATCGAAGAGCGTGCGAAGCGAAGCACACGTTCAGAACACATGGGGGATCAATGTGTCGGGCCTCTCGGGCACCTCCTGGAGAGTGTCTCGGGGATTGTCTGAGGGTCCCTTGGAGGCCTCTTGGGACAAGTTGTGCGCTGCTGAGGGCGCCTTGAGACGGTCTTGGGGAACGTCCCTGGCCGCCTTCGACGCCTCGGAGAGCCTTGGACAGCGCCAGGGAGGCGTCGTGCCGCCCAGGAAGCCTCGTGACGGGGGCGGTGCATGCAACAGTGTGCGTCCAAGGG